AAAAAAAATTGTTCCCTAAATTTCTTAATTTTAAGGAAGGTGCTAAACTTACTTATGACCTGTTTCATTTCTTATTTTGCTGACTTTGACTCCGTACATGTCGTACATGTGGTTCATACGTTTATAGGCCAAGCTCGTTTCAAGGACCCCCGGTAGTCTCCCTTGACCTCACTTGGCCTGCGTTTTGTAGGACAAGTTGACAGCTTTTTGTTTTAAGATCTCCAATTTCTTCACCCAGTGTGCATGTGAGTTGAACGATGTCGGTATTGAAAGCTGTTGTTAGTTTTTATCGAACGGGTGAGGAAAGGCCAAGCGAAAGATACAAGGCAAGACTCAAAGTCCAAGAAGAGCATCGGACACTTTCAGCGTTCAAGAAAAACGTTATTGACTTTCTTGGTCTTAACGAGCAAGCCAGGAAGTTCGGTCTTGGGCAATTTGACCTTAAACTTTACCGCCTCGCCAAAATCAGCGGCAAGATAGAAAATTATTCTTTATCGACCCAGCAGCAGCTAGATCTGGAACTACCCCTGTTGCTTGACTCAGATAGTGAAAGCGAGCTGAACAGTAAGTACTCTTAAAGTTATGAATTTTGTACGTGACTACTAGGATGCCGCGTGGCAAGAAATTTTTGCGGGTCTTTTATCTTGCGGATTGCAGAAACTAAATTAGCTCCCCACATGTTTGGGGAGCTAATTGTTTCGATAGCGAAAGACTGGTTTTCTTACTGAGGATTAATATTTGTTATTTTCAGGAGATCGCGAGCTTGAAATACCTGAGTAAAGCAACTAGCAGAGATGTCACTGTTTGCAAAACGCTTACTGTTGATCACTAAGGCATGGGTCGCACTTGGCAAAGTTTGGTGTGAATGTGGTCACTTTGGTGTAAAAATCTGTCATCGGGGCACATTGCCTAATGCGACCCTAACTTTTCCAGTTCGCAAAAACTTTGAAAACCGGCCAAAACATCAAAGACGCCGTAGTGCTTGGGTGGGGCAGGTAGATTTCGGAAAACTCGGGCTAAACAATAGCTATCACAGCGGTAACTGTCATCGCTTGTCAGTAAACAGCAAACGACTCGACTGGTCGCGGAACTGACCAGGCATATGGCGCTCGAAGTAATCTTCGCTGACGTCGATTTCTCGCTCTCATCATAGCGGCAGTCAAAACAGTTAAACAGGCGTTAACCCATCTTTCATAGATCATACGAAAGACAAAAAAGTGCTCGTGATTTAACTGAATAAGAAGAATAAGCATCACCGTGATCGTTATTAACAATGCTTCAACGGGACGCATTTTTTAAACGTTTGTTTTCCTTTTTCACCTCGCTGCTCTCTCCCCATAGCACGTCGATAAATGTGTGTCTGGTTTCAAAGTGTCATCACTGACATTTTTTTTCACCTAGTGCGACCCTGATAGTTGAAACCTAAAGTTTGCTTTCCGGTTGCGGTTTCAAATTTTCTGTGGTTTTTTGCCGGCAAAGTTGCAAACTTTGCCCAAGTGCGACCCATACCTAATCTTCCGTTACTATCGCTCAGCTCAAAGTTCTGGTTGTTTTGATTCTTTCATGAATGAGACAATCTCACGCTCCTTGGAGGTCATCGTGTGACGCCACCTACCCAGATTGGATTGTTGTTCTGCAGGGCTTACAATTAATTCTGAATGCATATTAGCCTTAAGGAGGAAATGAGTCGTACATGAACCCAAAAAATCCATTTTAATGTCGGCGAGTTTCAACCGTGTGACTTCCGAAACAATCCCCATTTCCTAATTTCATTACAACGCCCACCATGAATGAGACCACACTTAGGTCAAGTGATATTAATTTAGGATTTTTTCCACATGAAGTACATAAAAGAATTCAAGTTTAGAAAAGTGGTGTTATTAGAAGAAAGATCGATTCATTTTTATACAAAACTTGATTTCTTACGGAGATAAAACCCTAGAAATAATTTTAGTGACTCAAGTCTACGAATGTCCTGCGATGCAGGGAGTACTCTAACAAACTGAGCTATCAAGGTAACAGAGAGCTAGTCATTTATGAAAGGGATTACTCCAAAATAAGTTATTTGAACTTTGCAATTAAGATTTTAGCCGAAGAAAGATCATCGCAGTTAGAGCCACAAGTAGTTTTGAGTCTCCTTAAGTGAAGTGGGCTTGATTGGGGTTCGAAAGGTACTCGAATAAATGAGTGGAAAGCAACAGACATGTTGCCGGCGTTTCGTTTGTAAAACGAAACTTGATAGTAGCGTGGAGCACAGAAAAGTAGATAGACCTTGGGACCACTCCCTCTTGATTAGTTCAGCTATTCGTGCGAGCCTCAGTTACTGATTGAACATTCGGGACAGCCTACCAAGAGGCTCGTCATGTTGTTAAAAAATAAAGTTGCCAGGAGAATGTCCATGTGGCTAAGCGAGTGATTGTTGAGGTCTTTTTTTTTTTTTTTTCAGGACCTTTTCATCGAAGTTCAAGCGTTTTGTATTGAGTTTAGCCGCATCAGAGAAGCAGCAGGATTGTTTCGACTTCTAAGAACCTTGGACTGTGGTGAAACAAGTCCTGCTGCCACAAAGTGAACAGGAAGACGTCTCAATGTCATATACCACATGAGAACGGATGATTAGCCTAAGGGCTTTAAAAAGGACTTACTGACCGTTTAGCGACAGGACGTTTTCTCTTCTGCTCCCGCCGGACAATACTTAGGTTAAGGCATGAACAAACGGCAAAAATGATCTATCATTTTACCCAGTCTTCCTGTAGTCTTTAATTCAACCTAGAAGAAAAATAGAAACTGCTCTCGATGGTGTTGGCGAATACAACTACCTTTTTCCTCTGTCGCTATCACAAACGGCTAAAGCACAGTGAAACGGAAAGAAGTTCAAGTATTTACAGGTCAAGCTATCAAAAGCAGCTGGAAAATATTCATTTAATTTTATTATTGTGAGGATTTATGTTGTGCCTGTTAATCACCAACCTGTAAGAAAAAAAAAAAAAAGAAAGAAAAACAAACAAATCCTGTCCTGGTAGGTCTCCCCTTCAAGAGTCAAACGGAATAAATCGCATTTCACTTCCCGTGGGAACTAGTTTTTTCTTTCTATAATTTATTTCTATTATTTTATTTTATCTTCATTTGAACTACCGGTAGTTTTCATTTCTTTCAAATCTACGCGAACCGATCTATAAGTGCACGAACTAGAAAAAAGAATTGAAAATGAAATCAGCCGACTTTGGTCAGTGTTGCTACGGTTTCCGCACCGAAAAAAAAAGAAAAACCTTGCCAACATTATTTTTCAATTTCGTCTGCTCTACATGCAAAAGGGTCTGTGATGCGATGTAGTTTCTACTTTAGACTGTAAATCTGGGACCGTAAAGCAAAATCATGAGGTCGGCTTCTGAGATGCACCTTACAACCATCACCTGTCTAGTGAATAATTAAAGCAATGCGGTCAGTCTTAATGGGTCACATTGGCTTGTTATTTTCTAAAAGCGTGGCTTGCCGGTAAACCACGTTTTAAACAACGTTGGATCTACGTGCGCTTTTAGGAAACTGATCCCGTGTGTTAGCGAAAAAGGAAGCACTTTAATAAATTGAAGCGGAACATGCGGACGCCAACACGGAAACTGCAACGGTTTCATTGTCACACCGACTCTGCAGAATATTCCGTTTGCGATGTCGCTCTGTACATCATTCATGTATTCGCATTTCATTTTCATGAGACGTGCAACCTCTAGTACTTGTTATAAAATTTGAATAGTTTTGTTTTGTTTGTTTCTCACGAAACCAACGAAGAAAATGTAAAACAACTTCGTTTTAAAAGCAAAGAATATTTTTTCAAAATTTAGAACTTTATTTGGTGCTAACTATTATTATTTCTTAGCATTATTATTTTTTTGTGATCTATCCCCCCCCCCCCCAACCGACTTAAGGAAGTGATACTGAGTATGATGCATTAATGTTGATAGGAATTCGTTTTACGTTTTCCAGCCATTATTCATGTCTTAGCGAAGACGACAGATAAGAAAGCCATTCCGATAGTGGCGACTTACTCTGCTCTTAGTGGCGAAAGACGCAACACCACATCTGAACCACAACATTTTCACCGCAGTTCTTTGGAAACAGCGAGTAGATAAGTGCCCCGTTGTTCGAAAACCATAAGACAAAACTTGAAATGTGAAATTAGAAAATTGAAAGCTTGAAACTTGCAATTCTAAACTCTACTGCGGGGAAATTCAATCAATGTGGAAATTTTCATTTTCCACGCTTTTAACGCAAATGAGATTCAAAAACCATCGGGGCGGAAAAAAATTTCGTGAGTGTTTTAATTGCTGACTGTTGTTTTGTGCGGTTAGAACCCCAAACCGGGTTAGTTGAAAAAATATAAATTTTCAAGCTGAGAAAGGAACCAGTAGATTTTTGGACATCCGATGAACTGGGTAAAGATTGCCAATTGTCAGTAACTTCATTTGTAAATAATATGTAGGGCAACCTGTAAAGCAATTGTCCTGTAGAAATTTGTTTCTTCCGGAACATTACCTTCACTTCCGTTTCTGAGTGCCCGGATGAACCTCTGTTGTGAAGAATAACCTGGAAATTGTGATTACTCGTAATGAACTCATGGTTTCGCTGAGTGGCGATGATCTGTGCTAGAATGCCTCCCTCGCCAATAATTTTACCTAGGAAATTTCATGTGTTTCTTGTGTGTAAGAATTCAGTGGACAATATACCGGCCTTTGAACAAGTGATCGAGCAAACATGGTTGAAATGAGATGAATTTTACAGCATGGTTGCCATTCGGAGGGTGAAACGCTTAATGCAGTTCTCAGTTCTCGCTGTTTTCCTCGCTACGATACTACTGTTTCTTCAATGGAACGAAATAACGGACTCAGAGGAGCTCAAAACTGCTAAAAGAGGTAAGGAAATTACTTTAAAAGTTTCCTATTTACGCTTGACTGGATGTGTAAAATGTTGTTTTCCAACCACTTGTGTTGTTCATTTACGTTACATTCCTATGTCAATATCAAAGCTTAGATCGGGAAAAGCTTGGAGGGTTTTTCAGGTGAATAAATTGTTTTCTTTGATTTTGATTTACAGCAAAAACGTCCTTTAACGTGGACGACCAAGACCTGGCGAGGACTTTCATAGACCCTGAACGGGAATTTGATGTCAATGAAATATTAATGGTAAATACAAGGGCCCATTGTAGACTGAAATCTTGTATCGTATTTAGACAAATCGTAAAAGTTTAGCTTGATTAAGGAGTAGAAAGTTTTGCTTCGTTAGTTATAATTATTTATAGACGTGTTTTTTTTTTCTCGGTAACAGCGAAGGAAATTTCATTTCTCAGAATAAGGTCTATTTTTAAAATTTCGTAAGACCTCTCTTGCTGATGAACTGATGTCTACCTGAGTAATTGAGATTTGATATCAGTTTACCTCACGATTTACGAAGGTAAAGCACAAATATTTTATTCAAAAGTTCTCGATCAATTCACTTTGTCGTTTTACGGAAGCGAATAATTACCATCATTTCGATAAATGAAAGGAATGTTTCAACGTGAGATTTGCATCTTGTAAAGGAATGCTTTAATCAGCTTTTATTTTATGACATGGCCAACATTCCACTATATTAAACAGTGTTTCGTTTTGCTTGAATACATTATTTTAATCATCAACTAGATTATCTGATAGAGAAATTTATATTTCTTGTTTCGAGTCACGCTCCAGGAATTTCTAAACACACTGCTTTAATATTTGTACACGCTTGGAAGGAGTCGAACATGCGGCTGAACTTCAAGTAACACACTGTCACGCCATTGATCGACGTTTATCTAAATCTAATTTTAGGTTCTTCAAGGAAGTATTTCCTTTTTATCCGCTCTCAAATATTCATACGAGTAAACATTACGAATATCGAGTCTTACTCCGCGGTTTCCCGTCGATTAATCCATGTGAAAATATGACTGTGTGGTTTCGCAATAGATATAAACACACATGTTTTTAGATTTTATTCGATCGTTATTTTACGTCGACCCATTCGTAAGAATCATTAATTTTTTCATTTCCTGGATTTCCTTTCTTTACTGAAAGTTTTTAGAAATATCATTGTCCATAAGGGAGATTTTATATGCTTCTCCTTTAACCTAAATACAGTATCACCTCAAAGATCACGAAAATTATGATTATTAAAATTTCATGGTTTTGGTCACCAATTCTAAAAGCAGAATTGCTATGATAATTTCCATAAATCTCCTGTGGCAATTTTTTTTTTTTTTTAGCCTTGGTTTTGGTTAATTTTTTTTTCCTTACATGCCAATAAGATATCATTTTGTCAATTTTTACAATTTTTCCTAAAAACGTGTACAGGTAGCTAATAGGAAATATCAAATGTTTCACTTTTGCCCATGATGTATTGTGGCTGAAAAGCATATCCATTATTGTAGTTTTAAATGCTTTTTTCATTTATTGGAAATGTAAATTAAGTTTTAAGTGAAAAATAATTACTGTTAACAAGAAAGAACCACCCCCTGGAATAAATTCAAAAGGTTTATTTGAATGTTTGATTGTCTAAATTTTGTTGTAAACTTCCATCTGGTGACACTTACTGAATAGATGTGATCAAAAGCTTTTAGAGTATGTTTCTAATCAAGGGATAAAATATGGTACTGTTGGGTTTGAAATGTTTTTTTTTAAAAGCAAAGAGGTATTTGCATATAGCAACCTACAGTGTATTTCCTAATTTTTGCAACACACCCACTCAAAAAATGGATATAGTAGACCTTCAAGTGCCAATTTTTTAAAATGGTCCAACTAAGCATTTTAACCAAAGTTTCCGAGAAAAAGTTCTGTAAAATAGCAAAATGCACATGTTACAATGTAGTTACAAAAATGTGTTTTCAAGCTGAATTCTTTAGCCTTCTAAGTTGTGAATAGCATTATAACATGTTGCAATGAATGACTGTGTGTTTTCAGTGGCAAAACATCTTGGTTCTTCAATTTTAATGAGGTAAGTGTCTCCTGATTTCAGTTGTGGTGATTTCTGTTTTCTATCTGCATATAAAATTAGACTGTGAATGGGGAAAGATAACCAGTGTTGTCACATAGAATTGAGCTAAGGTCTGTCTCGAGTAACTGTTAGATAGTGTCTTGCAAAATATGTTTTTGCTGTGAGTCACAATATTCTGCCCCACACTGTTGACCTGACGTAATAAAACCTGGATAAGCGAACTTGACAGAGTAATTGGAAAGTAACTACAGTCATGTGATATGAATATCGAAAAATTCCAACTGTTTTTTTTTTTAAGACCAACCACTCAGGATTGAAGTTGTGCAGAAGTTTCATAAAATGTGCTCAGATTTGATATCCAATTAATAAGCTCAAAGAACAACCATCTTCAGTTTTGAATTGTTGCACCTCAGTCAGTTTACAATGATATCAAGTTAGAACAGAACAATTTTTGGTGGATGGTGCAGTTCACAACCTTTTCACAGATATAGATATATAGTTATTGGGCTTGTGCCTCAAACGGTGTGATAAAAATTTTTTCATCCAGGTCATTCTGTGAATGAGGAAAATTTTGCATTTGTAGCAAATCATCCTGCTGGTGTTCATGCAAGTAGATTTTCATAATTACTTTGGACTTTTCCTTTTAAAAATTAATATGGAACATAGAAATACGATGCATGCAAGAGAAAGTGGATGAGATTTATAGCACTATCAGAGGGTGGGTGGGTCAGCAGATTCTGTTGTCATTAGTGAAACGGCAGTACACATGTATGATTTTCATATATTCAAATTCATTGATTTATGCCTTCTATGGGCTTTATACAAACCAACATACTGACCAGCTCCTAGTTGGCAAGTTACCTCAGTTGGTAGAGCACTACACTGGTATTGCAGAGGTCATGGGTTCAAATCCCATACAGCCTGAATATTTTTCAGGCCTTATTTCCTCTACTACATAAGTAGGGTTCATTACTGTGAGGATCACTTTCATACATTTCATGAACTGCAGGACACATAAAATTATATGATTTTCATATATTCAAATTCATTGATTACTGGATTAATAATATTTAAAAAACCCTAACCCTTTACATCCAGCATCAGTATGCACATTCTCCAAACTGTTTTCTATACCTTTCTAGAGGAGCTGACAAGAGGAAATTGATTAAACAATCAAGAAATTCTTAATTGTATGATCATTCACTTTGTTTGCTTGACCTTAATGTCTGATTCAGGGGTGATTTTGCAATTAGATTATTTTGTAAATTTGATGCTGGTCCAGGGCTGTGGTCTACCAGTCCCTGGTGGTCCCTGGTGCCTTATTCTTGATCTTGGGCAACTCAGGAATCTTAGTTTTTTAATGAAAAGCATATTCTGGGCACCCTGGATTTCACAGTTTCAGAGCAGTGAGCTCCATTCAATTTTCTTAGTGCACAGCCTTGTGGTCACTTTTTGGGGTTAAAGGTAGTAGCCTGATGGTACACCTACCTTGGAGTGTGTGGTCCTTCAGTTTTAGAATATTATACTGCCCACTCCTCAATTCTTTCCTGCAACTTGTTGCTCCAATGCAATAGATTATTTTTTTTGTCCAAGGAATTGAATGGAAACAGTGATGCAGCCAGTGATGATGATGATGACTGGAAAACAGCATTTAATGAAAAAGCAAAACATCAAGTGGAAAAGAAAAAGAATTTTAATGGTGAGGCTTGTTTGACAATAAAACAGATTTGTTATCAACTCTATACCCTCTTCATGGACATCTTCCTAGGAGGTATTCTGATAGCAGATAATTGTTTGTAGTACACTGTATTGCATGTCCCATAGTGATTTTTTTTCTGGGGTATGAAAATTCTGCATTCCAGAGATGGAAACTGGGCCAAAACCTAAACTGAAGCAGGGTAAACCAGGAAAAGTTATTGAGTTCACATGAATTTCTGTCCTCCAGTTTTCATGTACAGTACGCAGTTAAGTGTGAGAAATATTCTATTAAAAGCATTAGTTTGACATTTTTTATTTATCAAAGGTTAGACTTTAAATTTGTTGAGACTACATTTTCATTTCAAAGTGTCAACACAATTCAAACAGATTGTAATTGGAGAGTATGGAACTTTTAATTACAATGATTGCATAATGTAGAAATTATTTTCCTAAATTACATTGAATTCAAAAGAAAACATTTTCTTAGCTGAGACACAACATACCACCCAAGTTTTATCATTTATTCTTAGTACAGAATTAACTGTAACTAATTAGTACTGTAAAAGAAAGAAAAGTGGTAAGCTGACACTCAACATACCACCCAAGTTTCTTCATCTGCTCTCTGTCCTCTGAATATGTTTTGGTTAACCCTTTCACTCCAGAATTAAAATATAAATTCTTCACATTGGCTGTGATACATTTGCTATAATTTTACAACTAAGGACCTGATGCGAAATCAAGTGTTATCCTCTATTACATAATAAGCTGAATTGTAAGTGCATTTTGATTGCTTTTTACTTATGATCTAACAGAAGACAGAGGTATACAGTTTGATGACTTTACCACTAACAGCAGTTTGCTCTTTTTTCATGCATTGGTCTCACATTTTGATATCATCTGTGATCTGCATATATTAACCATGTAATGTCACCAACATCGGAATCCCTCCTTTGTTGTAAATCTAACACACCATTCAAAGTCAAACAGAAGATAAAACAATTAACTGCCTCATACATACTAATGAGCTTCTTTTGCATGCATTTTTGAAGCACAGTTTGAAAAGTTGCATGTGTGTGCATGCTTATTTTTAACTCCCTTTTTGCCCGCAATGAGGGCTATTTTCCTCTGAGCTATACTGCTGTTTACAGACCGAACACAGAATCTATTTTTTATTACGTTGATATTTTTCTAACTTCTCGTTACCTTTCTACCTGTAAATGTTTGGTGAGTACAAGGTGAAAAACACATTTGGTCACTTTTCAGAGTCAAGAGTTTAGGATCTAATTATTTTCAAATATTCCTGTTGAAAGGAAAATGGAGAGAGACCATTAGTAGAGAGAACATTGACCATGGGGACAAAAGAAAACTGAACCAAATGCCAAATGAAAGTGAAGCATTGAATTTCACCACTCCCAGCACAACTGTCAGTGGATTAAAGCTGCTCTTTAGTCTTCAAAATGACACTATTCAGAGTGTTCACAGTGACAAGGAAAAGGCATCAGGGAAAGCTTCTCCTAAAATCCACCGCAAGGAATCACATGTTGATCATCTTCAAGCGCCTAACCACACCTGGACGAAATTTCCTTGGAGAAAAAATGTATGTTTTCTCTTGATGACCCTCAAATTCATTTCTTTGTTTTAAGAATTTTTACGACTTATCATTGTGGGCTTTGATGTCTTTGAGTACATACAACAGCCATCACCTCTTTGAAAATCAGCTGTGGTAAACCCATGGATTCTTAAGATCTGCTTCATATACACATACATTATGTAGTTCAGCACATTTTCATTCAAATTGAACTCTTTACACCCTAGCATCGGTATACACAATATCCGTATGGCTCCCCATACATTTGTTATGGTGTTGACAGGGAGGGCTGGTTTGACAATCAAGAGCTGCTTTATTTCGTGATCATTTTCTTTACTCTCATGACTTTAATATTTGATTGAGAATTAATGCTTTATGGAGAAATAGGATGTTGATCACTCCTTGGATTTTAAGGGTAATTACCATGAGTAGTTAGCTGTTGTCAGCTTTTCTAGTGAAGTTGTTAAAAGGGAAGAAATCAGGGCTCGAGACTTTTTTTTCAGGATTGGAAAGGTGGCAACAATTAATTTATCTTTGAAAATAGATGGGCCTTGTTTGACTTGTGTCTACAAAGATAAGTGATTTCTTGTCCAGCTTTTATGTTCTCCACACATCGTTGTTCATGTTCATTTGATATGAATTTTTACAAATGTTTGTTTATACAGTATATTGAACAACTTTTCTCTCATTTTCAAGATGGTTGGCTCACTGAATGTTCACATTTGGCAAGCATGTTGTGGTAGCACAACTCATGATTTGCGTAGGAACAGATTTTTCCCGCTGTACCCAGACATTCGCCTGACCGTTGGAAAGTTCTTTCTTCGTCACATGCAAGCCGACTACGGACAGAGAATATTTGGTTACGTTCACCCCCCTGTTTCAGGTATTAAGCGTTCATGTACTTTCCAGTAACATGCGAGAAAAGAAGTTGGAGATAGATTGATAAAAAAAATATGTTTTACGCTGCAGTCAATCAAGTTGTGGACCTGTTACGAAACAGGAGCAACGTTTCAGGGATTCACTAGGTCATATCCTGGGTTTTGACTGGGGGATTTGGATCAACTTTGTTTATTTCTGCTTTTTGTGTCTGTTAATGATTGACGGCCGGGTGAAATGAAATTGCATGCAGGTTTGACTCTCAGACTCGGAGGACCGCATGTTACTGCAAAGAAAACCATTGGATACAGAAGAATACAGACAGAACTTTATTTTACGTGGCACTCCACTTAACTAAAAGCTACTTTACAGGAAGCCCACAAATAAACATCTAAAATTGCAAAACAAAAGAAAGATAACATTTAGCTAAAATTGAGCTTAAAAACTGGATAAAAGTGAAGAACAGTTCCCGAAAGCTATTGGCGGCCGACAATTTATTGATTTAGTAGAAAGCGTCGTTCGTTCATTGCTTTTGTTTGGTATTGTTTATTTTCTTTTTTTCAGCAATGGCAATATGGTATAGTGGTTTAGGGCGCTGCATTAAAAATCAACAGGTCATTGCCTTAAATCAGGCTTAAAATTCCGCCGTTTTGTCGGATTTGGTCGTCGGTTCTCCCGAGAACCAAGCTTGTATAGGAATGCCGGCTCGTCTCCCAAACAGTGGCTGTAATCGAGCCAAAGGCACAAATATGTATTGTTTTTTAATTGTCAGTTTTCCTATTGAGTTGAAGTGTAAATTGGTCACCGTAAAGACTTTCTTAATCTGATGTTTCAAGCGTCATTCCTTTGTTGGAGTGAAAGACGAAGGACTAACACTCAAACATCCACCTTAGAGACTCTTTACGGTGGCCATTTTACATTTTCAGCTTAGATGATAAAACCACATGACCTTGTTATAACCCCACGGACGCAGCGACACAGTTTCTATAGAAATTTACCCCGTTTTGCTACAAGTACCTAGCTTATTCACTCTTGCTTCTTTTATTTCCAGGGAAGTACACGTTTGCCATTTCGTCGGACGACAGTTCAGAGCTCTGGTTGAGTTCAGATGAAAATCCTTCAAAAGTGAAACTCATAGCTTGGGTCGGAAATCGTACGTTGCTCAGTGTCACCTTTAAAACCAAAATTGCCCAATTTGATAAGTACAAAACACAACTGTCACGTCCGGTGCTTCTTCACAAAGGGCAGAAGTACTTCATTGAGGCTTTGCACAAGCAAGGAAATCTACAAGAACACATTTTGGTGGGCTGGAAGATACCTGGTTCGAATGAATTTAGACATCTTACTGGATCCTCGATTTCGGCGGCGATCAACGATTCAATAGCCTCAAAGGATGTAACAAAGTATGCTAATTTTATACCACAAGATCTTCCAAGTCACTCGCACTATAGAACGAACCTTAAACTCGATCAAAATGTGTACAAATTCGGATCGGAAGATTTGCGCGATGTGGCACATAAAGCAAACTTCGTGGACGAGCGCGATATAGAGAACATATTCCCATCTTGTCCCTATAATCCCAGCTATTTGGTAAACTTCAAGTTGAAGCGTTACGAAGGCGTGCATTTGATTCACGACACTTCCCGGTATCCCAACGATTATTCCGAGCTGAGTCACATGAGACAATACGACCAGTGCGCGCTGAGAAGAAATCGAGATTCTCATGGCAACCAGGTGAGCTCTCCGTCATCGGAACCGAATTCTAAACAAAGGCTGCATGAAGATTCTCATGGTAACCCAAAGAGTTCTCTGCCACCAAACCTGAAGTTTAAACAAAGGCTGTATGAAGATGGTAGTATAGCTGTGTTTAAGAACAGTAAGGTATTTTTGCCTTTGTCTTTTGCGAAAAGTGCAGCAGAGAAGGAGAGAGTTAAAGAGCAGTTACTTGAGGCGCAAATGGACTTGTTGGATATGAAAAGACTCAGTCAACACGCGAACCAGCAGGCCTTCCAGTCAATGGAAGATCCATCTTTTGTGGCCGGTGATTCTTCAGAGAAAATTGATAAAAAGAAAGGTTCTGAGGCGAGGGAAAGACTAAAGAGGAGAGACTCAGACGCCGTTTCTATAGACAGAGTCAAAAAGAGGACTTTAAGAAAAAGAGAGTCTGTGAGGAAACAAAGGAATAGTGAAGACAAGATTAGACATTCTAACGTAGAGCCTCAGCAACGTTCGCGCGTTGAGGAAGTCGTTAAAAAGAGGCAGTCACGTGATGCGCCTCTCAGTTCACGTGAAGAAACACCACGTGATTCTCTCGTGCGCCGATCAAATGGTTATGTGAGTTCAAAAGGTAACCAGCGTAAACTGTTGAGCCTCAATTCAAAAAGTGCGGGATCCATTGACAGTATCACGGTAACTTCGAATGCACCAAGGAATAATAAGGAAAGAATTGCTAATACGTCATCATATGAAGCCATTCCGACGAGAAGATTAGCAGGGCGAGTTGCAAATAGGTCGTTGCATGAGTTCATGCCGGCGGAAAAACAAAGCCGCCAAAAAGGGCCTTTCAGAAGTTACCTACCAGTTTCATATAATCTGGCTGAACTGTTTCCTGAGAGAGAGGCGAACTCTAGCCGCAACGGCTTACAGCAGCGCTCCAGAGGACGTATTTCGTTTTATCCTGTTGACGAGGAAGACGACCGTATGACTCGAATGAACTCCGCGCGAGAGTTTGTACGCAAGATGATATACGCAGTGCAGATGTACAACCATCGCGTCAATTCGCGCACTTTGGCGGAAGGTGTGCGAAGAAAATTCGGAGTGGCGTTGAAGATTCCCAACGTAGTTAAAATCCCTGATTACAACGGATGGATTTTTCATCAAAACAGGACAATGTGCGCCAGCGATGGAAACTTGCTGTTGAATGATGCCGTAAGTACTTGGAATCAGCCTAATATCGACTAGTTTCCATAGCAAATGGAAAAAAAAAAATAAGGAAGAACCCAGTGAACTCTTTCCTAGATGGTTGCCTTGGGGACTGCCACCAAGTCTACGTCTGGAAGAAATTCTCTTCTTATTTGAAAAGAGTTAAGTGGAATTACCGTGTGAGCTACGTTCCTGATAACGTTTGTTTGTTTCTTTGTTTCTGTACGAAGGTGGCGAACAGTGTTGTGAATCGATACATGCGTGCCTTGAGACAAGCAACAAACAGGTAAGAACTGAAACATCGCAAAGAAAAACCATTTGAGTGTTGAAATTGCCAGTGTTACTGGCGATATTTTGCGCGCTCTACGGTTTTGTGTGCGCTAAACCGAAGGGCGGCGAAGCAGCTAGTTGAAACTATCTTTTCCGGTTTTTTTTTAATGGACTTTTTCAGCAAGTACTCCCTGAAGAACATCTTAAACGTGGAAGAAAATCACGATGTGTTACTAGGGGACAGATATCTTATAGACCTGGTAAGCCAGAGCTGTATTAAATACTGTAAGTAACTTTTTCACATCTCAAAGAAAAAGAACCCAAACTGGAAGATACGTTTGAACTTTTAGGGATACAAAGTATTTCAAGACTAAGGGAGTGAAAGAAATTCTTAAGACATGGGTTCTCTCAAATCACCTTTTTTTTTATTCCGCATAGTAATGCTACTCAAAAGTACCATTTTTATCAGTCAATAAACTGCAGCTTGTTTATAAAATGAAAATAGCTTTCTTCTTTTATTTTTTCATAGGAGCTAAATGTTGAAGGGAAAAGTAAGTATTCGAGATAATTGTTCTCCTTTTTCTACCTTTCGAAAATGTATTTATTTGATGAAGCTTGGCATATGTACGTTTAAGCTCAGTGGAGCACCGTGCTTCGGCGGTTTATTTACCCGTATCAACTTCAACAAGAGGAATAGCGTAGTGCTTTTTTAAGGAAAGGATCTGATCTGTCATTCGGCAGTAAGAATGACAACAAGATTCCAATGGGGGTGGACTGCAGCGCTTTGCGATTGTGACGTAAAACCAAAGCCATAAATACAATCGTAACAGCCAATCAAAGTGAGTATAGTTTAGTGTAACAAGCAGCCAATTGGAACTCAAGTTAAATCAAGCAAACTGCCTGAAGCGCGGGAAAACAGAACTGGCCCAGTGTCGACAGCCTGTAGTTTTGCATCTGATTGGTTAAGAAGGTGGCGCGAGGTTTCTGGAGCTTGTTAAAGCAAAAACAATGCAAGCCTAAATCACGTTCAGCACTCCATTTAGAAAATGCTTCAGTTACTTCCAGCCTCCACATTAACTTGTTGCGGCATGTCTGTATTTCCCAGATTCCACAGTGCGCTTGTCACAGTACGTCTATCAGAAAATCGGCAAGACGGATTTCTGTTTGCCAGAAGGATTTGTGCTGAATCAACATGCTACCGTACACATTATCATTCCAGGTTAGAAACTCACTAATGTCTTCCAGGTATTATGAATTCCGTGTACAAAATGCATTTCTCTGGCTGGGAAACCCACAGTACTAAAAAAGAAAAGTAACGCAGCCTTTGGAGGACAAGTAGATATCTAAGTGCAACGCAACTTTGCTCAAATGATCAACAATACTGCGTGATAAACAATGGTATAACATCATTAAGGCCTCATTATTTTGGCCTCCGTTTTCAAATACCCCTCTACACCCTAACATCAGTATGCTATTCTCCATACTGTTTTCCTAACAGTTTTTTAAGGTGCCGACAAGGAGAATTTGTTCAACAATCAAAAGTTGCTGTGTAATTCGTGATCATTCTTTTTTTGCCCTCGTGACCTTCATTTTTTATTCACAAGGGTGATATCGTATGGAGAAATCAGATGTTAGTGACTCTTAGTGTTACGAGCCTTTGTTTTAGAGAGAGCCGCGGAAGGGGGGGTGGGGAAGCTATTTAGACAGAGAGAGGTCAGTATGATGAGAGCGTAAACGGCATATTCGTAATGAAGAAGGAAAAAGAGTGAAAAACCTCGCATCACCACACACATCGCCAACAGCCATATATTCGTGTGTTGTAACCAAGAATTCAAAGACCACAGGTTTATTGGACCGATTTGACATCAATGAGCATGCGCCTTAGTAATAGCTCTTTACTTCGGCATCATTGATAAAGTTTATAAAGGAGCATGTTGTCTTTCCTGGTTTTTTTTTTTATTATTATCCCTGTTCGTCCGTTTTTCAGTGAAGAATCAAGGTAAATGGGTACAGCATCTCATTGACAACATGGTGGAGGTAAGATTCAATGTTCTGTGTTTTGATTCCTTCGTCTAGAGAAGTTAGCACTTTCGTTATATGAAACACTCCTGACATTTTTTCTCTCCTAAGAATGAGAAACGAGATGCTTTGTGGGCCAATATGCTAGTTCCCGGATCGATTCCTGGCTGGAGTCTCCTGTAATGGGAAAGACACGTAACTAGATCTCACGGTGCCCCTCTCCATCCAAAACCGTGAATATTACCGGCCATCTGTTGTGTGTAACTGGTAGAGTTTTAGGTTTTGAGCACAGTACACCGCGGTGGTGATGACAGTTCAAACTATTTTGATTGCGCGATGATGCAAACAATTTAGGCGATGATGTGAAAGAACTTCCATCCTTTAGGCATTGAAAAAAATGTGGACGAGCACAATTCTTACGTTCATTCTCATGAATTTAAAGTGGTTTCTCACTTTCCATCTGCCCCTGCACAGTCCAGTTTCTGCAGTTTTTCCAGACCTAATGACTGTAAAGAACCCACAAAGTTTTCCTGTTGTTCCATTCCCACGACTAATTAACCCGTATTTACAGCTCTTCATCTTCTATTGAGCTGCAGGTTTCTTGAAGACATGTGATGTTTCACCCTCATAAATGTTTTGCATATGTTTTGTTTTGTTTTGTTTTTTTTTTCAGCTATACTTAGAGACAGGCGATCCGCATGTAAACATTATTATTGTGGACTTCAGTAGCACGGATATTGATGTGGAAGCTGCCTTAGAACGAAGCCAGTTGAAAAGGTAAAACGAAGGTGAAAATCAATTCTAACAAGGATCATAACCGATTATGCATCCTAGTAATAATCGAGACAAAATTGAATAAACTTTGTTGAAGTATCGTTTGAGATGCAAAAATTTCCACAGTGGGCTAGCGGTATAAATTCACTTAAATTCGCTTAAAGCAGAGGAAAGGAAGAATGTTTGCATGAGAGGTTAAAGAGGAGCTGTAGTTACTTGTAAGAATTAAGCTCATCAGTGATGTTCTCCTTTCGAACCAAAAAAGTCCTCATTAGTCAGTCATGTGATACTGTTTCTAGATCTGATTGGGTGAGGAGCGTTTGATAAACTACATACTAATTCGGGTTTCTGTTTGGAAGTTAACTCAAGTAATCTTCCTGTCTTTTTTTCTTTCAGATACCAAGTGAGAAAACTAAAAGGACCTTTTCAGAGAGCGTATGGCATTCAAGCAGGCGCAGCGTTAGTTAAGGTGTGTGTAAGAAGTCAGTCAATAATTGCATAAACTTCTAGAAGATTGATCTGTGAAAGCATAGCGCTGTAGCAGAGATTTGCTATGATCTTGCCAAGCCATGTGCTGTGCATTTGGGGCTCAGACGAGAATCTTGTTTGAATATCGATTGAGCTAAGAACAAGCAATTTGATATCTTAAAGACTCCACGCATGCAATATCACACCCTTTAATTGTAACAACACAAGCTAACTTGTCGTACATCTCCTGCTCGGGAAGTACCAATAGCAAACCTACGACCTACAATGTTTGATAGTCAACTGAAATGAGCTAATGCTGGCTGCTTTGTTATTTTGTTCAATCACCAAAATTAAGTACAAAAATCGCGAATAGTGCTGATTAGTTAACTCGGATGTGATTAAAAGGCAGTACTATTTTTAAAGCAGCCAAAGAGACGCTATTGCGCGTCAAGAGTTTCCTCTTAGTCCATTTTACGGTACATCGACAGAATTTTTTTTCTTTTGCACTGTGTGTACTAAATACTAAAACACTATTTCCCCTTAATGTCGGTAAAAGTGGTGGAGATTTACCTCCGCTCTGGTGAATAGTTGTTAAATACTACATGTTAATTTCTCTGTTTGTTTGTTTGTTTTTTCCTTTTTACACTTCTACGCATTGCTACGTAGCTTTAAGCTTGACTTACCTTTTTTATGCTTTAGAATCCCCGTGATATTATTTTCATGTGTGATCTTCATCTTCAAATTCCAAGTAACATTGTCGACATTATTAGAAAGGTAAGGGACTTGTGTAACCGCTGGTTTGGAAAATCTTGTCGTCATTCTCTTCCCTTCCAAGAAGTGGTGGGACCCGCAGTTTTGCGGGAACGAAGAATTAGTCGACGTTACCTTATTGGGGAATGAGAATTATGAATGTGTATTAGTAGGAACAGATAAGGCGTTCGGCCTTTCTCGTCCAAGATCTGGCAGCAAATTCCCCCTATGTGACTAACACACATGTCTTCGTATTTGAGAGATGAAAATTTGGTATTATAAAACCACTTAGGTCGTAATTTTCTTAACTTGCTTCAGTAGTAGAAGAAACATTGTGCCAGTGTTGTAAACTAGTTTGAAGAATAATCGTGCTTTTTTCAGCACTGTGTTCAACGGAAGATGGCGTTTGCTCCAATAGTTGCTCGACTTCATTGTGGCTTTTCTCCTTCACTGCCCTTTGGTAAGATTGTTTCTTTTGTGATGTAAGTAATTGTCAAAGGCAACACGATAGTCAGTGTGGTATAAGCTGAGTTATGATGTATCAGGTGGATCATCGAACCTTTATATTTGAATCAAGGGTAATCTTGTAAGGAGAAACTATAGGGGAGCCATTCTTAAGGTGACTGAATACAGTTTTTGATACCTTTGTGTCTTTCACCATTTTCTCTGAAACCCTTGATCTCTCGGTCGCCAAAACTGGCAGCAAGCAAGTTAACAACACAAACTTTGTTTTTTCGATAGTTAAGCTGACGTATGTGCCGTTGCCATGGCGACGTATTGATGAGACCTCATTGATTATTTTGTTTCCACTCTGCAAAGGTTTTTGGGAGCTTCAAGGTTACGGTCTATTCGCCATGTACAAGTCAGATTTCACTCGAGTTGGTGGAATGAACTACAAGGAGTTCAGGACCACATGGGGAGGGGAGGACTGGGAACTTCTGGACAGGTGGGTGTTGAGTCATTGTACGGGCACAGGCCTTAGAGGATTGTTAAGGGCGGGAACGTGTGTTGAACTAGGGTAGTATCCCATAATCCCATCCAGGGGGAGTAGCAACACTCCTATTGGTTGATGCCAGAGATAAACCCTAGCGCCGTGTGGGCCATCTTGGCTTGGGTGGAGACCAACCTTGCCTTCACCTTAAAAATATGCTGTGCTTTCGCTGGTAAGGTTAAAGGTGACATTTATTTTCGCTTGGATCGATTCAAAGAAAGAGAGAGCTTAGGGATGGACGTTTTCCTTGTTGGGTCGAGTGCTACTGCTGGCTCTAGGTGGTCTTGACCCCTGCCAATCTGATTGGGACGTCTCGTGTTATTGTTTCAGTCTCAAGAAAGATCGTCAAGTTTTGGAAAGATCATTTTCTAGTAATGTAGTTCTTTTCTTCTTCCAAAGGCCTCTAATTAGTGAAACGTTGTTTGAATTGTCACAGAGTTCTTCAGGACAAGATGGAAGTGGAGAGGTTACGTGTGCCGAAGTTTTATCATTATTTTCACTCAAAGAAAGGAATGTGGGGAAGCAGGAACTTGTTCAACTCCTACAGGAAGGATATGTTCGATAGCTATGATCACCAAGGCGACACCGACGTCATCACGCTTTATAGCAAGAGCAAGGAAAGAGCAGAAGATTATCAACGACTTCCTTCTAACGAAAGGAGCCACGGCAGATAACGTTTGGTTAGATCTTACTCAATTAGGAATGCTTGGTCCTTTATTGTGACTCCTTTTCGGAATGTTTAAGAATTCGGCTGTGGCTTAATGATGAGCCCGCGAGACTCCGCATACGATTGATTTTTAGCTAGGGTCAGAGTGTTGTCCCCTGGTTAGACAATTTCGTCTCAGAGTGCTTCTTCCTACCCAAGATGGATGGGTATGACTCGGTACGACTGCGTATGGGAAACCTGTGGAAATGCGTGGAGGGTGGTTAACCTGTGATGTACTAGTATTCCATCCAGGGGTAGAATCAACACCGCTTGCGCTTCTAGTCATGGGAACCGCGTTTTATCTCCAGCAGCCGTGTAAGTTTGTCGCGAATGCAGGTTTTACATTTTTACTTTCATGATCAAAAGGGTGAATTCATGAGAAACTTTCAAATATTATTTAAACCCATGTCGGTATGTCTTTCTGTTTAAACAAGTTAACTCAAATAAACTGATGTGCCAATCCAGGATAACTTTGTTAAAGGAAATCCAAGGCGCTTTTCAATAAGACCAAAAGTGTTTAGTTTAAATTAACTCCAGGATTGTGCTCTACACTATCGTTATTTAAAGGTACAATCGTAACCCCCACCCCACCCTCCCTTTCGTAAACTTTCTTTCAAAAATGACAAAGGTGAACGTTGCAGAATCTCGACTTGTATTTATATTTATCCCGGGGATTTTCGAGCCATTCCTTGATATTTTATTCTATTTGGGGCACCGGAAATATTGTAGGGGAGTTCTATCAGTCATCGATACGATTCCAATCAAGGAAAGGACTCACCTTAAAAACAAACCTGCAGTAATGCTAGATGGAAACAGCTGAAACATTTTGCTACCTTTTTTACATTAAAATTTCTAAGTTTTCCAGCAGGGTGAAATGATTTAGTTGTAAGCGAAGACCTTTAGATTTCAAGACGTGTGTTAGATTTCAAGACGTGTGTGTAAGTTCAAGATTTTCCCGCGAAAATACGGTAGAGCTGCAGTATTTTGGCGGGAAAAACGCGGTTGCCATCCTCCCTCTGGAACAAAATACTTAACGCTTGACAGTTATGCACTTTTTCGATCAGGCACGGGGTGGATTGTGTGCAAACTTTGTTGCTCACCAATAGTACCGTGAAACTTCAGTAAGGATTTAGTTTCGTAGTATCTCGGTGGAAACATGAATTCAAGTCTTTTCACAAATCAAACTCGTCTTTAATTTAATAGTATCCAATTATTACTGAGAGAAGGCAAGGCAAGGCAAAAAAAAAAATCGATTGCTTTGTCGACAAGGACGATGGCGTCTAACTTCTACAGCAACCGGTGGGGTTGCGGAATATTTTTCCAAAAAAAAATTATAATTTATAAAATTAATATATGTATTTTAATAGTTTTAACAAAAGTGAACAGACAAGAAGCAAACATTTTAAAAATGACTTCAATTTTAAATACAAGACGTTAGATGGAAATGATAATGAAATACTTCAGCTAACCAAACAGAAAATATTTAGATTATAGTAGAAGGTAAATTCGATTTCCTTATTTTGTCTTGAGAATTTTTACGTATTACCCAATGCCAGTTTCACTGGATGAACTTATGTAATTACATGAAAGTATGTGAATTATTTAGGAAATTTTAAATCGTCTCAACACCATCATTGTTGCCTAAATGATAAGGAGAATTTTAATTATGTTCCATCTCTTTAATTGTAATACGTTTGGTATAAGTAAAGATGGATAGTGAGGCAGTGTTTTTGGAGCGCTTTTCGATTGAGTTGCGTGAACCAAAACCAAAGTAATCACAACAGCCAATCAGAATAAAGGAGAATACCTACAAGAGCCAATGAGAATTCATGTAAAAGTGAAAACGACCAAACCGCTAAAAGTGCGGGAAAACGCAGGCGACCAGGTCGTGATTGGATTTTGTTTTCCGTCTGATTGGTTGAGAGAGTGGCTCGATTTTTTTCTGGACCAATCACAGAGCAAAGTAACTCACTTGAAAATCACTCTATAGAGGTAGTGTTAGACGTACAGAGAGATTTCATACTATACACGCCAAGATTGTGAAATAGAGGTTGATTACAGGTTATTTTGACCTTAAGTCTGGAAATTTGATCAAATCTAAATATACTTTTATTGAAAGTAGTGATGTTAGTGTTTCAATGCTTTTATTCTGAAGTGTCTCTAGGGGCCTTTATGTATCTAATACTTAAAAGCTGACGTTTCGAGCGTTAGCCCTTCGTCAGAGCTTTTTAACTCTTTACGGTGGCCAATTTACAATTTCAACTTAATTGATAAAACCAAATTACCTTCTTACCCCCACCAACGCAGCACCCGTTTCTTTAGAAACTTACCCGCTTTATTCAAATCTTACAGTAGTCACACAAGACAACCATGACTTGGTGTTCTGAGTCCACATGATGAATCGAACCTCCTAATTTCCCGTTAGTTTGCTTTCAACCTAACATTACGCTACATCTTCTCTATTCTGTTTTCCATACATTTCCTAACGTGCTGACCCATTTAACAGTCAAGAGCTTTATTAGTCGGTAATCATTTCCTTTATTCCAGTGACTTTCATGTGTGATTCATTGTAAGTGCGATCAAAGTAGTGACGGGTGTTGATAATTGTGGATTGAGTAGAAATAAAAACGTCTAGGAGTTTAAAACAAAGAGTATTTATGCGATGTACATCATTATGATCGAGCATATGGTGGAGAAACGTATCGCGTTGCATCATGGGACCGATACTGTGTGCTGTAGATTATGTCATCTCATTTCATGAACAGCTAGCACCCATCGCAAATTGAGTATGAAAAATAGCTCAGATTTGTTTTTTACAAAATAAACGCAAGCTTCAATCTTATGCGGTAAATGAATGCCATATTCATTTAAACATAGACTTCAATTCATTAGTTCCGCGGGTGACCGCTTCATACAAGTTCGACAGTATGATTCGTTTCGTTAAAACTTTCCTTTCATTCTTTTTCTATCTTTTTATTTTCTAGTTTTTTATTCAAAGTAAGATTTTTTGACAAATTAGCTTTAGCAGAACTGAAGAAAAAACCATACTATTCTACGCTTTTTAAAGGTATCATTTGCAACCCTAAGCTGAGATCATTTTCAGTTTGGGATCATTAGCGGTCCAATTTAGATTATAAAACTCTTGTAAAATCATAATACTCAAGGATTCTCAAATACCTCTAATTTGATTTTCTACTTAGATTTTTTTTTTTTTTTTTTGCATTTCTTTACATTAGGTTAGGTAGACAGATTCCTGTTTAGTAATCAACTCCTACTCAGAACCAGTACGCAACTCTACCTAAAGCCAATTCAGCCTTTTCAATTATTTCATTACAACCAACATCATCTTCGTCCTTGCCCTTAACAACTTCTTCATGACCCTCAAGGCTAGAAGAATATTTGTTCCGTGTGCTTCTGGGATAGCTTTCTCCCAAAGGTAGATGCTTGCGGTTCCGGGAACTGTGGTTTTCCAGCAAGTTTCACGTATTCTTCTGACATGATAGCGAGTCAAATTAAATTATATTACTATGGGTTATATTAAATTATATTACTATGCTACCTTAGTAAGTGGGGTTAAAGTTCTGAGAGGGACTTTATGGCTCTATATTTGAAAGATTGTCTATGAATATAAGGTGTAGGGATACGTTTATGAACTATATAAGGTGTATCTAAGGTGAAAGATTGTTTATGAATATAAGGCGTAGAAAGCATAGAAATATAATTTAATTTAACCCAAAGATTACCGTCTCTTGCTCAAAAATCAAGAATAAAAGTCTTTATTTTTTGGACAATTACTCACCTTCGAAACTTGGTCAGCCATCTTGCTATGGATGTGACCACGTGCTAATGGTCGTGGGGACACGGGAGCTAGTAATAAAATTATCGCGCGATAATATTATCTATCGCGGGATACGGTGTTCTATCGCGGGATAAGGTGTTCTATCGCGCGATAAGTTGTTCTATCGCGCGGTAAGTTGTTCTATCGCATGATAAGTTGTTCTATCGCGCGATACAGTGTTCTATCGCGCGATGAGTTGTTCTATTGCGCGATGAGTTGTTCTATCGCGCGATAAGTTGTTCTATCGGGCGATAAGTTGTTCTATCGCGCGATAAGTTGTTCTATCGCGCGATAAGTTGCTCTATCGCGCGATAAGTTGTTCTATCGCGCCATAAGTTTTTCTATCGCGCGATACAGTGTTGTATTGCGCGATAAGTTGTTCTATCGCGCGATAATGTTGATTGCAAATTTATTGAATGAATGGACTTAGCAAAACTTATCGCGCGATAAACTCATGAACATTTTTGTAGGTGGATGGCCCTTGAGAGCCACCGTAAGGTTCTCCCATACAGACCGACCTAGCTCGGTTAATAAGATGTTTATTATATGGCTGTGTCTTATATGCCAACTTTTTATGTTCTTTGTACCTTTTTTTTTTCTAGACCGGTCTAGATGCCAGTCTAGATGGGAAAATCTAGACCGCTTTCAATATTGATTTCAGGCAATAAAATTCGTGAATTCGGTAGTTCCCAGTCCTTGTGAGACACAGCCATATAATAAAAGACATTAAAGCCCCTGGCGGGAGTTGAAGTTTATCCGTCAAAATCGATTGAAAGCCGAAGAAACAACAAAGAAAGTCCAGTTCGACTAAAAAAAAAATCCCCAAATCACTTTATTTCGTACGCGCGACTAACAAAGTGCGTCAGTAAGATTTAAATCATTCGAATCAACCAATAAGCGCGCGCCTGAAATTGAACTATAACGATGAAAAGGGGGGAGGAGAGAATATCTACTTATTGACTAAGTGGGAAGGCCGAACGGGAAAAGAATCTTTTATTCTGTTTTAAGTTGTCCTCAAATTCATTTTGCAATGTAATGCAGTTTTTTAAAGATTAGATAATAAAGTAATTGAAAAATGGCGTCTGTAATCAGGCCTCAAATGGCTTGAAAGTCTTATAAGCTGCGTTGACAACAGTCCCAACGATAGATATGGAAATATGTTGTCAGACCAGGCGCTAAAATCGTCACGGTGGTTTTTCCTTCTTTTTTCTCCATTCTTGATCAAAATGCACCTCTGTTAAAGAATAAAACGTGCAGAAGAGTACCCAACTGGAAAGAAAATCGGCTTCAAAGTCTTAAAATCGATGATGACAGCAGTCCCAAAGATAGATATGGAAATATGTTGCTGCCCGCGTAGGGGATTTCAATTCTAGTCTTCAAGTTAATTTTCCTGTATCCGTTTGGCGCCATTTGGCCATATTTTGCACATATTCGGCGCTGGTTTACCAGGTTTTGAGGCTTTACAGATTTCATTGGATTTAACCTTCCTTTTTGTTACGCCTTTGTAGAGCTATTTCGCTCCGGGTTTGGCCGCGTGAATCTTAGTAGTCAGAATTTTAAAGTTCAGTTTAATTTTATTACTTGCTGGGGCACAGAAATATGTAAAAAAGACACCAGCAGTTCTTTAGGTTCGGCCATGAAAAAACATTTCTTAGCATAGTGTTGCGAATAGAGATATCGATATGTGCTTTGAATTAATTTTTGTACACATTTTTAACCGTAGACGATAGATGTTTTGCGATTGATATTCATACTTTGTACTATTCTTAGTTATTTTATGATTACTCGGTGGATGTTTAGCGCAGAGGGCCACGAGTTTATCGGTTAAACTGTCACGTGTTACCCTCTCTAAATAAATTGTTTACTTACTTACTTACTTACTTACTTACTCCGATTGAATTTTCAGCATCAGTTTGCCATCGTTTCCCGAATTATTTACTATTCGGCCGTCATCTTTTGTCTGTTGTTATTACGACTATGGTTTACTTCACGCTTTTAAAGTTAATAATAAACTGCTCATTTAAGATACGTCATGGAATGCAAAAGATTTAAGTTCGTACGAATAATTACGACATACCAAGGGGTAGCTCTGAGGAACCTTCGATTAAAAAGATTTAGACGGTATTTTTCGCACCTTTCAACTGTGGCGTTGCATCTTGAAAATTGTAGCCATTTGTTAATAAATTGTCAATTGGATTTGGTCAGGAAAACTGTTTACCATATCAACAGTTTATCTTAACAACGATCTTTGAAAAGCTGTTCAACTTTTGGTAGGTTGGAAGATATGGAATGCCGGGATATGGAATGCCGGGATATGGAATGCCGGGATATGGAATGCCGGAATTCGGAACCGGAACTGAAATACTTGGAATACCAGGAATACCCGGAATTCCCGGAATGACCGAAAAATAAGAAATTTTAAAAAAAGAAAAGTGAATTAATAAATAAATAAGAATATTGATGATTAAAAATTAATGTTAAATTCACAACTTAATTAAATAGTTTAATACGTAATTTTTCTCTGAGGGTCCCAAAAACAAAAAAACACTTACCGGCATGGAGATGCACGTATTAGAATTTAAAAAAGTCTGCGTCAGGCCATTAGCCCATACAGCCTAAGCGACGAAATATTTCTTCTCTCCCTGGATGGGATG